GACAAAAGGATAGCCTAATTCGAATAAAATATTAAAATAATGAGAATGTAAACAAGAAAGTAAGTGGATTTCGACTATCAACTTAGGATAATAATTTTAGATGATCTATTCGCACAGACCTACATCATAGCTCAAAGGCTCCCCAAACAGGTTGATGTCAAACGAACATCTCTTATATCTATTCCTTCAACGTGTGTCTCGTAAATCGCAACTTCTATCTTTTTCATGGTACATGTCTGTTAGACTTCCATGTAAGCAGGATCGGGCTCAACGAGTCTATAGCACAAGCAAATTCAAAATAAAAGGCCCAATTTAGTTTGCATATATATGATAATTGTTGCTCATCACAAGTGACTTCGCCTGGTTTGTCTTAGGCAGCGCTGCATTTGTTTGCGCCTCCAATGGTATCTACTTTATTCCAGCCAACCGCTGCTTATTCACCTTCATTATGAGAGCACATAAAGACTTCAGCTATTCTACAATCAACTATACTTGTACACCAGATCTCTAAGAGACTTGAACACAGTCCAAAGGTATGAATTGTCAAAAAGAAGATTATGTCAAAGATATAAAAAAGGTGCATATTGATTGCGGAAATATGGACAAAACATTTACAAAAAAACAATATCAAACATAGTAAACAAACATATTTCGTAAACAAAACTAAGACTCAAAATAACCTACTTTTATTGGGCTTAGAGATAAGGACTAGTAATTGAGAGATTTAAGGTAAAAAATTAAATAAAAAAACAGATTAAATGAGAAATCTGGCAAAGTATGGAAGAACTGAATGTAGCGTATAACAATTAAACTGATAACAGAACAATTCAGAGTATTTTGTGTCAAATAGTAGAATTATTATTAGTTATTTAAGATTTAAATCGGATCAGACGTAAAATAATTCTAAGTCAAAGTGGAAAAGGAAGCGATAATATAAAATGAAAAAATAGAGCTTCTTTTCTTGCAAACAATAAACTAGCGTATCATAAAGAAAATTAAAAGCATTTTACACTAACGTACAGGAACGTGCGAATGCAGTGCTTTGTATCCCGTATATCCCATACTTTGATGAAATAGGAACACACAGTGAAAGCCAAACTACCAGCTGGATAAAATCGGACTTTTGTAACATTATTCGGATGATCTCCAAGAGTTGCCAGCTCCTCCATAGTGCATAAATCCCATAATTTGGCTGTACGATCTGTAAGAGACAATAATCACAGCAAAGGTCAAAAAACTAATTTTCAAGTAGAAATGTATCAAAAACGCATAGAGGGGGCAAGAAAACTAGATTTGTGTAAGTTTAATCAGGAAAGACTTTCATTTCGTACGAAAGTACATGATGAAAAGATTCATAGGCCAATCTCACCAGAAGGCGTCGGCTGATTCGCGTTGCACCGCAGCCGATTGGCATTAATACGAAGTTCAGGTTGATGTAGCCCACGAGACAACCCACCAATGTTCCAGGAAAAGGCGAGCTGAGCTTTCGTCCATCATCAAAGATAGAACTTATACTTATAAGTCTCATGTTAGTACTAGATCAAGAATACTGACCTTTGTTTAATGACATATTTATTACGAGGGTTAGTCACAAAATAACCCCTGTTAAATTAACGAGACAGACGTGTGTACACGTGTAGCCCCGAACGTCTGTTTTTTGAACCAATATAATTACACAATTGGGAAAACTAACGAAGCATGAAGAGCCTGATGATTCGCTGATGGATCTCACCGAAAGACGACGTTCGATTCCATTGTTCAGCTTACGTTTGGCTTTAATACTACGTTCATGCCGACGAATCCCAAAAGAAGGAAAGGTTCACTTGTTTCAATCGAAACAAGAAAGAATGTCTCTTGAATTGATTTAATATTAATAGATCGAGAATAAGTAATCGACTTTCGGTAAGATAAGCAAACGAATCTTTTTGATAGTGAATTTCTATAGGAAATATAAGTTTACACTTCAATGTTGTAACGGGAGATTCGCCGTTTTAATCATTATAGGTTACTTTACAAATATAGTATAAAACATTAACGAAGGTGAAAATCGATCATGAGAATGAAAATAATATTCTAACTTCACAATTATGGAAAGGGTCTAAAGTTAAAAAACTTCTCAATTATAATTACATAAAGATAATCTTATTGTAGTAGTTATTGTACAAAACAAAATCAAATCGAAATTAAATGAATATAAGCAAAAATTCAATAGCTTAAAGTATTTTCTGGATATGGAGGTAAATTAAACAAATGAGAAAAATTTTGTTTTATAATTTGTTAATCCTTAACTTTGCTGCCGGAAAGCATGAGATCAGCCATCAAGTCAACATCAAGGACGGCGTTAGAATGACCACGAGCAACATGTGTGCATTCTATCGGCACCCGATACTCTACCGATACACTTTGGGGTGCGACTTGAGTTAAGGAGGAAGGTGGAAGTTGCTGATTATGAAGAGAGGATGTATACACCTGGCGTCCGCAATCAGGAAATCCAGAAGTAACAGGAGCATGTGCAAAAGACGCATGAACAAGTAGGTTGTTCAGACGTTCAGATTGCGTTGATGCAGGTACAAGAGAAGATAGAGAAGGATCAACCTGGTTCTTTCGAGCAGAAGACTGACTAATCGAATCCAACTGGTTCCGTTGTTCGGTTGTGACTGAACTAGGAAAGATGGTAGCAAGTGGGAGACCAGTGTCATCGTCAGATGGGTTTGAGACAGTGCATACATTAAGACGATAGGGCTGTGCCGATGTAGGTAGTGTCTGCCCTGGCTTACCGCCCGGCATAAGCTGAATACATCCGCTAAAAAACAGGATTGTATGAATGTGTCTTAGAAAATAAGTAGTAGAATCTAGTCGTGCTATTATAGGTCATTTTGTTAAATAACAATATAGATGACTAAAATAAAAGTAGAACATTCATACATTGAAAAAAATGTGTAGCTATGAATGCGTATTTTGAATAAGGATTGTAATATATTAACAAAATTTAAAAATAAATCCAAGATATTAGTTGATCCGTAAATAAAGCGTCATTCAATTTAATAAGGCAATAAAAGTGGCAATGATTTCGCTTAATAAATATAAGTAACGGATATAGTAGTATAACCCGAAAATTCACAAAGGATCGTTAGAGGTAGACAAAAGGCTGGGAGAAACATTAAAAAAAGCTTAGCTATTGGAAAAACAATGTAGCAAATATTTTTAATATCTTCAATGATTTAGATTATTTGGATAGTGGGATTTATTAAGAATAATTATGAAATCGGATAATCCTCCAAAAATAAATACAAAACAAAATACTACATATAGAGAGGAAAAATATAAAACTCTCATTAAACTACACAGAAATTAACATTACGCTAATCTTCAATTAAAGCGGCAAATTGTAAATGTCAAGCTGTAGTCACGGTGGCCTTAAGTAGCTTCAAAATTCAAATAAATAAAAAAATAATAATTTAAAATAATACTCTAAGGTACGATAGCGAAGATGTTTTACCTTGTTTTCGCAACTTGGTTATATTGTTAGAAAGAACTAGAGAAGCGCACCTAGTCCGTAGTCCCAGGTATGCATGATTATTTCCATAGTCGGACCGTGGATGTGGTACATCTCCAGACGTTTCACTGGCATCGTCACTGAGCATTACCAGTTTTAGCACCACACTAGAACGCGTCAGAGACAAGTGAAGCCGATCCTTTGACCAATTGTCCGCTAAACAATTGTGATATCTCTCCTTCAGCCCTGGGCCCTTCACCAATCCTATATTCTCGTATCACCCTTTCACTATCACAATTTCTTTATTGCTTATTTCAATGTGGTATGGCGTACTCTTTTAAACAAATTTCGTGAGAACTCTAAACCTAATGCTGGCTTACTCGCCCTTTCACCTCGCAATTCTCTTCTCATCCGTCTCCCAATCGCCGCGATGGATCCACATCCTACCTTCCTGGTTCAGATATTTTACTCGACTCCTGCAACCTTATCTGTATTACTCGAAGCATCATTTCCCACACTGTCTCAAGCCTTCGATGGCACTCAAACCACTGCATCGCTGAAATAGGCACCTAAAAATAATGATTCTCAATCTGGATGAGCATTGGCATGGACATGATAATTACTCGGGCTCTTTAGCCTCTGATAAGGCCGATGGGAATATGATTGCGGGGTGAGGGGATGATTAAACCAGCGAAGGGTTGGAAAGTTCTCATGAAATTCACTAAAAGGACATACCACATAAGACTAAAATAGGCAATTAAGAAATTGTGAAAGTGAAGGGGTGATAAGAGGATATAGAATTAGGAGATAGCCCAAGGCAGGAGATATTACAATTGTATAGCAGACATCTTGGCCAAAGGATCGGCTTCACTTGTATCCTAGACGAGTTGTATTGCGATGCTAAGGCGGGTAAGACTCGTTGACGATGCCGGCGAAACGATTCGAAATGTACTACGTTCACGGTCCGACTCAGGAGATAATCCTGCATAATATGGACTCCAGACTAGGTGACAAATATTACATTTTAATATTACCTAGTGTTTTGAAATTGTATATTCATCTCATCATGTTAAAAAGTTAATTAAAGTTACCTAAAGCAATCTAAGGTAAGTTAATATTCATGAATTACTGATAATATTGAAACCTACTTATATCGAAAGTTTATGAAAAATATAC